TTTTGTATTCTTAGCATGATTTTCTAAGAGTTATTTCTGAAGCATGTTGAATTAACATTAAAATCTTCCCTTATCACTACAAATTATAAAATATTTAGCTTTAATTTCCCTTTTCATATCACATAAGTAGAAACTTACTATAAAACACATTTGAAAGAACTCATTGTTGACTTAGGTAATTAAAGTGAAGAGTGTGGAGTGAATTTTTAATGCTTTTTAGATTAGCTCAGGAATGATCAACATATTTGTCTCCTCAAGAATATGTACAAATAATGCTTCGCAGCTCACATTTGCCTTCTTCCAAGAAAATTAATGAGCATGCAGAATTAAGGACATGTCAGTAAAAATTCTAGACTGAGTTGAACATTTTTTAAGTCTCTTATTCATTAATTGGTTTAAGTCTAAGGGCTCTGCATTTTAGATTTGATAAAGACTGTATTTCATGAAAGTCTATAAGAAATTGCAGGGGTCGGTTGAGGCCAGCTCCCAGCAATTTGCCAGCACGTTGCTTGCAGCGAGTCTGCACAGCTGAGTTGTTTGGGATTTTTTTTTAAATAAGGAAATTAACTTTCCAGCTCTACACTTCAAGAACCTTGTTTGAATTGCAAAGTGTACAGGCACAAAAAACTGAAACAGGGCCACGAATGACTGTGAGTTAGGGTGACTTGGTTGGTTTTGTGGGAGCCATGAAAATTCACGCCTACTGAGGACCTGGTCTGTTAGCCGTAGACCAGCCTTGAACCCACCACACTCCACAAGATCTGCCTGGAGCTCTGGCAGGCAAGCTGGGCAGGCGCGTATCCCACTAACCAGTGACAAAGAGGAGTGGGAGAGAAGAGATGGCTTTTACGTTAGCCTACACGCCTGAACACCAACACAGTTGAGGGACTTGACAAGTTGTGTGTGTTGCACTGTACATTGTGAGAATGATTGGCAATTAATGTAACGGCATAACTAAAGGCTTGTGATAGAGTACCCCTGAGTAGACTTTTCTAATCCAAACTATAACCTCTTGTCACCTGCCTCCCTTCTTCCCCTAAATAAGTCACCTCCCCCTTGCTCTTGTCCTTTGCAGTCTTGTCTGATGGCACAGGTTGTGGCTCCTCGGCAGGATGGTCCCCGTCCAGGCTGTGATCTGCATCTCCTCCCTTGCCCTGCTCATGTTGCTTCTTTCATCCCTCAGTGGGCTGATTTAGCTCAGCAAGCTGACAGGTATTAACCCAGGAAAATAAAGTGTGTCTCATGATCTGAATCAGCTCACCAAGGTTTCAGATAAGCTTCAGATAAGTTTCAGAGCCAGGAGATGGATGGAGAGGAGAAGGAGTGGAATAGCTGTTTCAGTCAGAGGAGACATCTTTGCTTGTCTCAACTGCTGCACCTACCCCCAGCTCAAAGCCCTTGCCCCGCTGTGCTGTACCCGCTGCATTTTGGGGTGCTCGGAGTCCTGAAGGACCCACGGCTATGGCAGGAGGCAGATGGTCCATTGAGCAGAACAGTTGCATGATGTCTGACTTACTGTCCGACTCAGTGCTGTCTAAAGTTTTACCACATCAGCTTTGTTTGAAGCTATTTACCTATTTCAAGTTATTGTATTGTTGTCTATTGCATTCGGTCACTGTCCACTCACACAAGTATCTCATTTTCTCTGGTCTGCTGTGGAAACGCCATCTCTCGACACAAACACAAATGCTGATGTGGCTCCCTGCTATGCTGATATTTCTGTACTTGTTTATCTACAGGAGGAGCTAAGGAATTGGTTTGCATTTCAAAACAGGACAATCTGAACCCGTAATGCCTTTTTTAATATTAGTTGTTTGAATTAACTGTGGATTAAAGCTCTAGGTACTACCACAGCATTAATACGATGACGTTAGGCTTGATTTTTCTTGCTTTGCAGGAGAAGTTTGGGGAGAATCTTGGATTTGCATGGCAGTAGAATACGTTAGCACAGTAAACAGCATTTCTGAAGCCTTATATTAAATCACCAAAACAAATGTATGTCTCAAGATTGGCCTCAGTGACCATAAAGTATGAGTGGGCTGAGCAGCAGGACAACTAGGATAACTGAGGAAAGTGTCTGGTCCAAACTAAGAACCAGGTTTTGTTACATCTGGTGCTTACAGAAGTGGTTTCGATTTGCGTGGAAGATTTAGATTAAATATTTGGGGGAAAAAATGCATTACAAGAAGGAATTCCTTTGCTGGAAGAGGTTTGGCACCCAAATTTTTTGGTAGCACTTTTTACTCAGTTACTGGTCTGTGGTTACTGTTCCCTGACTTGCTGGCAGAAATGAGGTGTGGAAACTGAATAACTGGGTGCAGGACAACTAACCCAAGATCCATTTAATTTTGGGGTGTAAAATAGGATCTGTGTCCCTGTGGTAGGGATATGCCTCCATTGCCTTCAGCTCCACAGTGCCGGTTCTTTTGTTTGTTTGGAAGATGAGTTTGTCGTGATTAGACTCTGCTGGGTCGACAGACAGAGGTGAGACAGACATGCATGCAACGTGTTCAAGGTTTTCCACAGCTGGTTCTTTGATTTATTTACAGATGTAGCTCCCACCACTTGTCTAAGAGCTGCTGGCACAAGAGGAAGCTCTGTCTACCACTTTGTTTCCCCACTTCAGCCGTTCCAGCCTACGTTGCCACTTCTGCATAGCGTTGCCTACAATATTCCCTGAAGTTTTGGCATCAGTTGAACTAAGCCAGTCCCACAACTGCAAAAAACTGTGTAGTAGAGACTCAATCCAGAAGGGTCAAAAAACCCATCTACTCCATTTACCCCAGCGTAATGTACGCTACAGAATGTTTCTTAAAATCCTCTTAACAATCTTTGCCACTTACAGTAAAATACCAAAAGCAATAATTATAATGAACTAGAGGGAGATCGGGAGAGATCAAAGGCATCCCTCTAGCAGCCTAAATCCTTGAAGTACCAGGTGATTTGTTAGGTTTAGTTCTCAGGAGTTAGCCCGTGCCCCAAGCTATAAAGGTAGGTTAAAATAATACCGGCAGTCCTCTGCAGGTCTGGCCTGGGGGTGATTCCTTCGAGATCCCAGATCCGGTGGGATCAGTTCACGTCCTGATCACAGGAGCAAGTGTTTGGGCAACTTCAGTACCCATGAACTGACCGAGCCAGTCCCCCCTGTACTCCTCTGAGCGGTCTCCCAGGTTTCCAAGGAGCAAACAAGGAACAAAACAAAACAGAGAAGCCAAATTCTGCAGCAAGGAGGAAGAAATCCTTCCCAGTACCTGCAGGCAGGCAGTCCAAGGAATGAAGCATTAGACTAATAAATGATCAGCAGGCAGCAATCAAGTCTTTCTAAGGGATAATGCCCCAGGCTCAGCACAGTTTTTCATTGGAATATAGCAGAGCAGTCTCTTTCCTTGTCTTATACACTCTTTTCAAGGAATATAATTAGATAATTATGTTTGTTTTGTACTCCAGTATAACACAAGTCCCTGACTGAATAGTAAAATTAATTATTTTTTATGTAGCTGATTTTGACTTCCTCAGGACAGTACTTCACAGTTGCCTTTACTGAATTTTATTTTAGGTTCTTTACCATGCCTTCTGCTTCTGAAGGTGATTTTCAGTTTGACCATGCTTTTCCAGTTTGTCACTCACCGATTCTTTTGATTGCACTCTGTGCCATCACCCCAGCTATTAAGGAAAATAAGGGCTAGACGCTAACTCGAGACAGAGCCCAGCACGTCTGCAATGTCACTGCGCGGTTCCGTTTCTGTGCTGCTTTTTTCCGCATGTTAAAATGATTGGAGTTGATAAGATTTCAATTTAAACTTTAAAAACTTTCCTTGGTATATACAGTGACAGCATTTGTCACTACAAATGCTTTTAAGGATGTTTATATACAATAGTTCCAAGATATAAATGATCATTGTTTAAAATCTGTCAAAGGAGAAATCTTGCCACAACTAAATATGTAACACTGACATTTGAAATCAGAGCAGACACGCTTATTTGGCTTACACTTGTAGCGCTATCAGCTGCTTTCCGAGAGGAAGAAGGAGGAAACATTTCTGTGGCAGGTTAATTGCAGAATAACAAGCAAATTCTGTCTCTTGACACTAATTATTCTAAATAAATTCAAACTACATAGAACCCTTTTATAATGAAGCCATTCTTTTCACAGAACAACTTTAGTCTAACTGGAAGTAGAATTGCAATTGGCGTATTGTGATGTATTGAAACAATTCAGGACTTTCGTTCTGCTTCACGATAAGTGGTGTTCTGCAATGCCCAGGTAGAGAAATTGTTGTGAGTGCAGTGAAGGAGGTACTCCTGTCTTCCCGAAACAGCTTTTCTGGTTTCTTAGCAGTTGAGTCATGAGAGTCAAGAAGGAAAAAAGAAGTTTTAATCCTTGAAAGCCATTTTAGAACTAGGCAGATCTGCATGGCAAGTCGTGTAATATTGTATACTGCCATCAGAGTGGGGTGCTTGCTCTTCTTCTTTATCACTGTTATCTTTTTGGTGGCTGTTCTTACTGTAAGTGAAGGCCATTTTGCCATCGCTACAATTTCTGAATATCTCAAAGGCTTTCGCTTGTATGTATTTAATGTGTCACTTCATCTTTTAATTCAGCTCACTTGCAGTATTTGAGTTTATAATAGATTTCAGAACTAAGCCAGTGGGACCTCGGAAGGGATACGGCACGCTGTTATTAAAGGTCTCAGCTGAAGTCAGTTGATAGATACGGACGTGTTGTGTCATTGTTGTCTGGTTTAGACCCATTGCCCTCCCATATGCAAAGCCGTCATTGTGGCAGTCCCCACCCCAAAAAAATAAATGATCTTGCAAGTAACTGCTAAAGAAGGAGGCAGCCAGATTGTGTAAGGTCTGTACTGGGTGATGAAATCCCATATTCCATCCAATTGATGAGTGATATTAGTACAGAAGTGATTAAATTTCGTCTCGGTGCAAAGTCTGTTTGCAGTATGAATCTGCTGTTTCACATTATATATTTTTGTAATCCTGTGCAGAGCTGTGTACCCTGGACTGTGGCAGCCACGGTGTCTGTTCGAGAGGGATATGCCAGTGTGAAGAAGGCTGGGTGGGACCGACCTGTGAAGAACGTACCTGCCACTCTCACTGCGCTGAACACGGCCAGTGCAAGGACGGGAAGTGTGAGTGCAGCCCTGGATGGGAAGGGGACCACTGCACCATTGGTAAGGGCGCTTTGTACCTCTAGAAAGAAAATACGTAAAATCTGAACCAGTTATACAAAGATCTGCTATAGCCATCAGTAGTCTGATTCAAGTCATTTTGGAAAAACAGAGACCCAGAATCCGGCCAGGTTTAAAAAGGTGCCTCTGCACTGATGGTGCACCCTGCTTGTCCCACAGAATAGCAACTCAGCGCAGCTTTCTGGTTAGAGGAAATAACATTGATGAATTGGGTTTTTTTAAAAACACACAAAAGAAAGATATCTCACTCCTAACATATCTTTGGGTGGTGTTCATATGTGGACTTTGAGTCAGGAAGAAAAAAATGTTTAATAGAAGATGTGAGGGGACGAAGCTATTATTCAGCTTAAGTAATTCTTGCATTAAATCTCTTGCCTTCATGTCTGAGGATTTACATATTTTACTTATTACTAGAGGTGGTTTTTCTATAGCTGGCTTCTAACAATATTCCTAATAAGGTAAAGCTTTCAGATCTTTTTAGAAGTCATTGCTCTACTATAAAAATGTAATAGTTATATTTTTAATGAAATACAACAGGCTTTTGCAAAGTCTAATAGTGTTTCTCCCTAAAATATCCCAAAGCAGGATTATTCATAAATATTTTAATTGTTTATAATAGCAGGGTATCTAATTTTCAGAGGTGTAAGCAGCATCATGCTTGCTTCTTGAAAAAAGTAGAATGTTTTACCTTTATCTTGCTCATTTGAAGATAATTCATTCACTGGCTCTAAAATGTACTAAATCAGATTTGCTAAATCAAGAATTAGGTTTGTGAATGAGGAACGGCCTAATTTTCTAAAGACTGTGTAGAGCAATTCCAGAAAAGGCCATAAATAATGAAAAAGATAAATAGAGCTCTTCACATTGTGGGTACTGCCAGGTATGGCCCAAGCTGGCCTCTGCATGCTTGTCATCAAATGGAGAACAATCACATCTGCAATGCGTTTTGATCTGACTGCGGCGAGAGGGAGACACTTTATATCTAACCAACGGGTTAGAATAGCCATAAGCAAATGGTGTCTGTATTATTTTTTTTTTTCATTTGGGTACAGAAGTTCAATCCATCTCAGTTTTGTTCTTTTCTTTTTTAAGCTCACTACTTAGATGCTGTTCGAGGTAAGTTTTTCGTATTAGCATTGTGAAAGAATAATGAAAAGATAGAAAAGTATTGGGAATGTTTTGTGTTACCTGTTTTGTCTGAGCTTCTGTACTGCTAAGTTGCCAGAGGAAATAAAACATTTGTTTATGGAGATATATATATGCAGAGAGAGAAACTTACAGAAGAAAAAAATGCAATTTTTACCAAATAATGTGCTCAACTCATTTGCGAAGTTGGAGCAATGTAAGCACGTTTCATGTGGCCATCTGATGTGCTATGGTAGGCAAATCAGATTTTTGCTGTCACTTACCATTCCAAAGTAATGACAGAGCTGAGGACTTGCTCGTAAAACTTTGTGTTGATCCTGCCTTCCATGAGAACAAAAATTGTCCTAGTTTTTGTCATTTGTGCTTGAAGTAAGTTTCTTTTGACAGAGACGTGTAGCTTTTTAAAAGCTGTCTAGGCTAGATGTGATGTAGTTCTCTTCAAATCATTTGATACAAGAGTTAAATTTTGTGTTGTTTTGTGTCTGGTGCTGTTCATTTGAGTTCCGTGCCTTGCCGCGGGTCCTGCTCCGTCATGTCAGCGCAAGTACCTGCCCCGAGTTCGGCAGCAGTCCCTCAGTCCTCACCACGCTGTGTGGAGCAATGATGCACATTGCCCCTTGCCAAAAATGCTGCTAGCTGAAATATCAAACTAACCAATATTCCAGAAAGGCCTGGGTGTTTATTTTGTATTATTATTTTATTTCTTCAGAATTAGATCATAATAAAAACATGTAGGCATTCATTTGATTACATTTATAGTCTTAGAGGATAACCACACACAGCAGCAAAACATAATCATACACAAGAAATGAATTAACTCAGCAGGACAGTGAATTGAAGTGGAAAAACATCCCCCTTAACCCAGAACAGCTCTCACATCCTGCCCTTTCCCCCAACTCCCCCAAAATAATTGGCTTTTCTGGTATATCTGGTGGTTGCCAACCTCATGCTATTTTAGAGGAGCAGCTTCCAGAATTCCAGTGTGAGGAAACGGTGCCGCCCATCACCAGCCCTTCCGAGCAGGAGGGTCAGACTCCCCAATCTCCTTGCTTGCAGATGTGATTGATAAACCGTGCTGAGGGTGAGAAGGAGCGAGATGATGTGTCCAGGGTAGAGTTGCTGGGAGATGTGCTGCGTGCTGGGCTGTAAGTCACAGCCTGACAGACCAGTTGGACAGAGTCTCTGACTCCTCCAAAGCCGTTTTGGAGCATCTGTCTCTTGGGGCTGCCAAACACACACGCAGACTGAGGCCTCCTCTTTCTTCCTCAAAAAAAAATTTCTTTCTGATAACACATAAGTGTTGATGTTCACAATCAAGTACAGAAGGGCTTTCAGCTCCTGTGTGTCCGTGCTGGCAAAAAGAAAGGAGCCCTCTTAGAAGGGATGCCACTTGCGCCGTTAAGCTTATTGCTGAGCTTTATCCATTGTCCTTTGGCTCCATGTGTGATATGGTGAGGATTTGACAAATGTCTAAGCTGGCACTAAACTATGCAAGCAGATGGACATGAGTGTCCGCATCCAAGAGACAATTCCTCTGTTGCTCTTATAGGCAAGAGATCTAGCTGAGAGTGTCCAAATTACTATTGATTCAGAGCTTACAAGTATATAATCCAGGGGATGCTACAGTCGTCGTTCCAGTTTTGATCTAGAATCGGAGCTACTAAAGGGCAAGTGCTTGTCATATTTGAGTCGGCTATAATGTGAAGGAAGTGGAACTGGACATTGGAAGGAAATGGTCCCTTGTTTGTCTTCTGTGGAAAGAGTTGTATTGTAGCATAAATCAAATTGGCTTTTTCTCAGTCAGCTGAGTATTTATGAACACAATAAAAAGGTCACCTCCACTCCCCACAATGTGTAGGATTATGTCCACAAATGCCAGTTGTCATTTAAACAGTGTTTTCCATGTATATCTTTGATATAAACACTGATTATGTATATACCTTCCTTTGGGATCTACAACTTGTTTTTCAATGAGGAGAGAGATGGACACGGCAGACTGTTAAATATATTCTTATAAGTTTACTCACTTTTTTCCTGTGCACAAAATGTTATACACTAAAAAATCCTCATTCCTCACTGAGAAATGACTTTTGAGCAAGCAAAGGGAGGAATCAGGATGGCGATTTTTTTTTTTTCCATATTTGTCCAAAAATATAAATTGCTTGCAAGGGAGCTGTGGTCATCGAAGACAGCAAGTACAAAGCTATATGAAAAATGTTAAAGAATAATTACAACTGTAAAGGAAGAGAAGGAAACTCCTCCATGAAGGCTTCTTTCTTATATTTTCTTTTCTAGATGGCTGCCCAGGTCTCTGTTACGGAAATGGGAGGTGCACTCTTGATCAGAATGGGTGGCACTGTGTTTGTCAAGTGGGCTGGAGTGGCTCGGGCTGTAACGTTGTCATGGAAATGGTGTGTGGAGATAACCTGGACAATGATGGAGGTATGATACATAATTCATGTCTGTGTTTATTTGTCACATCCTTGATTGTCATTTGAATCTGTGGTTTGGGTGTATGTTTTCCTTTTTATCACAGAATGCCAACGTTTGTCTGGTTGCTCAAGACAGTTGTTCCACTAACTTCATCTGTGAGGCAACAGATCATTGTGCCAGATGTTATTCAAGGCACAAATTATGTATGTGCCATACCTATCATCCAAAAAAAAAAAAAAGTGTAACAAGTAATTTCTTCTGTCTCCTTTCCACTCTACCTCATGGTCAAGATAACTCTGTCATCTGTTTCAGAAAAAAGAGCCAATGGGTACCCAAATGAAAAACCCTCTGTGCCTGTCAAAATGCATCCAGAGTTTAGTCTTATGTTAACGTTAAATGAATATATTTGCAAGCATAAAGCATACATTGAGAGATGTTTTTTTACCATTAATCTCTTTCTTAATGTTTCCACTGAGACACAGCACAGTTCTTGCAATTCTCCAGACCTACATTTGAACGACTGGTGAGTAAGCCAGTGTAGAAAGTATGCAGAAGTCATTTTTGAAAGTGCCAGAAACAGAGCCCTGTGCTGAAATAATCGTTCGTTCTTTTCCACCAGTTGAACCAGGGCATTTGGCACTAGATGCTCCCTGCCTCAGACCTCTGTAGTCTTGATTCTAAGGCTGTGTAAGTTTTAGGTTTGCTGGGAAAAACACAGTTTTTTCATAAGTTAGTCTCTGCTTCCTTTCCAGTACTTCACTCTAATACATGAGCTAGTGCATTTTTTTCAGGAAAAAACACCCAGACTCTGTTTCAGACTTACCAGTGGCAGAAAAAGCCACAACATTCCTCACTGGTTGTTCTCAGAGTTAATTATTTTTCCTATCTATTTTAGGAATACTCATTTACTGGACAGTCAAGAGGGACCATTGCTTTCCTCTCCTTTACTTACCTCCATCCTTTACGGCGTGCTTGGCCCCATGCTCGGAGCTGTGCAGCTTTCTCATTCAGACCGTCAGTACCTCTGCCCCAAGCACAGTTACATTATTTTCCTTAGATTGTACGCCGAGACGTATTGAAACATATATTATCTTATTGTGTCACACTTGCAAACCATCTCAGTGCCTTGGGTGAGATCTCCCACCCCCCCGTAGTGTCAAACCTTAGTATTAGTATTGTCTGTTTTCTTCTAGGTCATTGATAAATTAAGCTTGATTTAGGGCCAAGAGCTGAGGTCACTGTGGGACCTCAGTAGAAACATTCTGACTCAGTGATGATTCCTCATTTACAGATATATTTTGAGACCTTCTGATTTTGTATCCTGTGGGCTCTGAGACCACGCTGTCTTTCTGGCAAAGGCATCCCCGTTTCTGAACCCCTTTCAAAATCGCCTTATTCCTCTCTTATCCTTCCTTTTCCACCTTATTTCCAAGCCCTCTGACAACCGTCTCTCTGCCCACTCTCTCTGCTCTTCCACGCCGGTGCGTATCCCTTTCACACAAGGTCCCACAGCTGGCATCGCTGCCCCCCGCGCGCGTTCCCATCTGTCCGGTGCTCTCCCCTGCTGTCCGAGCCACTGACTCACTCGCCTGCGCGCTTAAATCTGTCCACAAAAACCCTGTTTAGCCTGTAATGTATGTAAAGCATTTTCTGATACACTCTGTGAACTGGCTCTGTATAAACTGCCCTGTACTGTGATTTTGGGTGCTTTATATTCTGCAATAACGGTGAGTTATTGAAAGAGTTGGCAGTTTTAACTCTAAATCTCCTTGAATTTGTCAGTTTAAGGCAGACACTTAACATCATTTCACTGCAGGTTTTAAAAGTAATTTTCTTTTTCCTTTTTAATGGCAACATAACGTGGGCTAGGACAGCTCTGTTGACATTACAATTAGAGATAAGTGCAGAGAGAAATATTTAATTAATCTGGCTACTACAGATGGGCTAAATGTAATTAAGTTTCCTTCACAATCAATTTTATATAAGAAAAGAAAATTTTAACTACATATTAAAACCACTTCTCTTTATATGTGAAGTTCATAGGACCTGATTTGGCATAAGCATAAATTAAGAAAATTTCCTTTAAAGTCATTTGAGTTATACCAGTGTTACATTAATACGAAATCAGAAGCTGATGCCTAGTGTTTCAGGGTTTGTGTGCGTACACAACAGTAAAAAGCAGAAATTAGGAAGGAGGCGTGACATTACCTGTTAAGTCCTGTTTGCTGGGAGGTTGTGCCTCAGACTATGAGAATATTACGGTGGCGTAACGAGTTCCCATCCATCAAGCTACATAACTGGATTAGGTTCATAAAGATGGAAACTATTAACATTTTTTGCCTGCAGTTGTGGTGGGTTAAGAGCATGCACTCAGTTGAGTTACAGAAACTCAGCTGGCAGGTGGTAACTTCCTAAGCCGTTAGGATGCGATCGCGTTCAGTCAGAGGCACACAGTCCGGGAGATCGTGCTCTAGACCTAATTTAGTGCTGTTGTATATTCCAAATCACCTAGCAAAGGTCTTATTCAGTCCAAGTGCGTTTAAATCAAATATTTGTATCTCGGTACTTAGGAGGTGTTTTCTGATTCAGCTTCGTTAGGAGGAAGTCACAGTCAAAGGACAAAGCTGTAGTAAAGTTGAACAATTATTATTTCAAACAATAATTTCAGGAGTTAGGCAGAGTGATAATTTTGGGTAGTTTCCGGTTGATTTATTATACAATACTTTCAGAGACTGAAAAACTGAGATTTTTGCTATATAAAAATACATTCAAATACATGGTAGGAAAAAAGTGTTGGAAAATGAAGTATTTTATTAGTTCCAACTGTAGGGATCAAATAATGTCATTTATTTGGCATGAGGAAGTGTTAATGTTATTTTTTGGTCTGTAGTAACAGCACAAAAGCTTTGGGAGTGAGAAAGTCTTGAATTCATTTTTTTAGGACTGGCGTATTAGCGTATCGGTAAGTCACAGGCATATTCACAGGCATCCCGGTTCTGCAGACGCTGAAGCACCGAGTTCCCCATCAGTGCAGTTATCTACGGTGGTAAGGTTAAACACGTGCAGAAATATTTTCCTGAGCAGGGAGAATACTATTTCTTTTAGAGCCCCATCAGTGTACGCTGTGTTGTACCCTGACTGTACCATAACTGCCTTTCCCATTCCATCTCATAACTCTCTGTTAGCTTTTTCCTACTTGCAGACTTAAGGGCATGTTTACCTGTTCAAATATCACTACAAATATCATTGAAAAGGTCTTAGCATTATAACAGATGCACAACGGCATGGTTTGCACTCACTCTTGTGGAGCGCATCTGCAGTCTGTTAGCAGTGTGATGTCCATTAAATAATGCCAAGAAGTCAAGCAGATGTCCTTTGCAGTGGGACCTTTCCCTCGCCATCACTTCCCCCAGCATCGCGTTATTCCCCATTTCTTATTCTGCTTCTTTCATTGTCATGACTGACGTGATTTCATCTGCAGTGTATAAGATGACCATTCAGCTCATCCGAGCGGGTCGTTTTCTCTTGCCCTACCATTGCTTTAGACTCGTTTGGAAGCTTCACTAGCTCCAGGAGATTGCTTGAAAGCTCTGCTGAGTTCTGCGCAGGCAAGTGCCCGTGGCCCAAGCATGCGGAGGCAGAGCACACTGTCGCAGCGCTGGGGCACGCGGGGTGCTCAGCACCAGCTCACAGGTCGCCCGGCCATCCTGCCGAGCCACAATTTACCCGCTATTCTGGCGTATATTTACATTGCTGCTGCGCGTGCAGGTCTTTGTCTTAAGCTGAAAGTTGCAGCCTGTCATTCCGGTTAATGTCTTTGATACGGATCTCTCTTTTAAATTTGCCTGGATCTCTTTTCATCGCTTTCTTTTCCTTTCGTGAATCAATCTTGACTGTTTTTAAGGAAAATACTATTTACTACATGCTTTGAATTCTCTTCCAAATATCCCTCAGTCACTTCAGACAGTTATTGTAGCTTTCTCTAAGCTTTTCCATGCACAAGAAAATATATGACTCAGCATAGCCTTGGGTTGATAACCAGTGCTGCTAAAATATTGATGTATTTCTGACCCATCCATTGGCATTTTAATAACCTATCCATCACAGAGATATTGAGTCCATATATAAGTAATACGCTATTATTACACAATATAAATAATACTGATGGGAATGGTTTTCATTGTTGCTGAGCAGCGAGGGCTCCCCAGGGATACTTACAGTTCCTGAAAATCATACCCTGACATATTTGCATTCTCCTGTGTGTGGAAGGCCAAACACCACTGGTACTCACTGGATAAAACACTCCGCAGCCTTTCCACAGGCACACTGGGGGGTTTCCAATGTCCTTATACGAACGCCAGCGTTCTCAGTTAACAGCCTCGCTGTCTGCTGCGTGCTATGTATTACGGCGAAAATTTGAGAAGCGGTTTGGATTAATGCATACAAATAAGCATTGGAGTCTCATGAAGGTTACTGCTGCTCAGTCTCTTCTGAAGTCACTCTTTGATTCAGTTTTCTCAGATTCCTGGGAACCCTAATTGGACTTAACTGAGCCTGTGGCGAAACAAGTTGGCACAGGCATTGTTTAATGCTTATTTGAAATCTGTAAAAGAAAGCAAGCAAATGTAAGTTGAAGACTCCCATGGATTATATTTTTTTCTACAAAGGACAATAGCATTGAACAATTGATCACGCGGGTGTACTGAAAAGCTCAAACCCTTCAAGTGTTGAGAGTCGTGATGTTGAGTTTTTTTAGGTTGCCCTGTGTGAAGAGTTCAGAGAACAAAATCTGCTTACTGCAAGGTGAAACGCAGAGCCCGTTTTTTACTTTCTGTGAAAACGTTCTGGACATAGAGTCCCCATAGCTCCATCGCTGGCTCGCGCTCACTGGGATCAGTACCGAGGGAGCGGGAGAACTCTTACACACACCTCTGGGTTGCTTTGCAGCAGTGAAAATGAAGGTCATTGGTATTACTTATACTTAATATATTGCTTAGAGATGGCCTTGA